TGGCCCAGGGAACACTCTACCTCAGGCAGGGCATTTCCGTTAAGACAGGTCCCAGCAGGCTTAGATGACCAAGGCCAACCCAGGGGATTCTCCTGTATCAGCCTTGGATTTATACAACTGGAGAAATAATAAGCCATCTTATTGAGATGAGCCTCAGAAAATGGAGAATCTCTTTACATCCGTTTTGCTACTCATCACCCTAACTGGGCTGACATACAGGCCCTCATGAATACCCGACTGTGGAAGAGCATAGGATGGTATTAGAGAAGGCTGCCAGGAAGCTGAAAGTTTCCCTGAATCACAACCAAATCATCCAGTCAGAACTCAGGTGGCACAGGCCACACCTGGAGCTGAACCAGGATGCTGGGACCCGAAAGACCCAAGGGAACTGAGCAAGCCTGAATCATCATAGGGAATGTTTAATAACCAGACTTCAACAGGAGCCCCCAAACAGCAGAGCTTGAATAAGATCTAGGAAGTACAGCAAGGACCCCAGGAGAACCCATCCACCTTCCTCGAGGGGGTTTTTGAGGCTTACAGATGATATGCTGCTATGGATCTCGAACACCCAGCTGTAACTGCTCAAATGCCCTGTTCCCTTTTTGGGAAAATTAAATGCACTCCCACATCAAGCCTCTGCCCCACAAGCTGCCCCATTACGATCGGGAGACCAAGCCTCCCCCCAGAAGCCCCTGAAGAAATTCTGCAAAAGGTAAGCGTGGATGTTTGGGCTGACGGGAGGCCAGGAAGAGACAAGACGGCTTACCTAGTAGTAGTAAAACTCCGTCCAGCGGCCAAGACTCCGAATGTGAAGCAACAGGCATTTAAACAGGCATTTGAAAGAAGGTATAAAGCCTCCGACGACCACCTTTCTTAAATGCCAATTATTCTGACCTTGTCAATCCTCATATAACACTCCCATCCTGTCGGTTCAAAAACCCGGGACCAGCGATGACTTTTACACAGGATTTGAGGGCTGTTAACCAAACTGTAGAGGATATACATCTGGTGATGCCAAATCTTTATACTTTACTTACAACTTTATCCGGAGACTTTTGCTGGTTTACAGTTCTGGAGTTAAAAGATGGCTTCTACTGCATACCCCTAAGTCCTGAGACCCAGGGGTTTGCCTTTGAATGGGACGATCCAGAGTCTGACGTAAAACAACGATACCGCGGGATGGGACTCCCAGAAGGATTGAAGCAGGACCCCACCATCTTCGCCACGGACTGAAGGGATCTCCAATTAAATGAGGGAGTCTTACTCCAATATGTGGATGGTATACTAACTGCTCGTAGAACTAAGGAAGCGTTAGGACCAAAATACTGCAAGGGAAAAGCACAAATTTCTCAACCAGCTCTAAAATATTTAGGATTTGAGGTATCCAAGGACAAAGAAACACTGCCAGATGGAAGAGAAGCAATAGCTATGGTTGCTGTAGCCACTACCAGAAGGCATTCTTGAGAATTCTTAGGAATTGCTGGGTTTTGTCGTACTTGGATTCCTAACTTTGAACTCTGCGACAATATGAGGCTCTTAAAGGAAGTGACAATACGCCATTAAGCTGGACTCCGAGGTGCCATAATGAGTTCCACACCATCACGGAGAAGCTTTTCACAGCCCAGCACTTGGTCGCCCAGGCATTTTGTGTCTGAAAGACAGGGCGTGAGTCTTGGAACGCAAACTCAATGTTTAGGTACCTCCAGAAGGCCAGTAGTTTACTTTTCTTGAGTCCAACAATTGGGCGTGTACGTCAAGTATGGCCAGTTTGCCTCTGGGCTGTGGCTGCAACCTATGACCTTTCACAGGAGGCTGAAAAATGTACCCTGAGCCAGCCGGCCACTGTGCATGCCCCGTGCAGTGTGCTACCTTTACTTGAACGAAACGGCGGATATAGGCTTACTTCGGGGAGGCTGGGCAAATACCAGGCCACACCACTTGACACCCCAAATGTCACATTACAGGTGGTATCCACTCTAAACCCAGCCACTCTGCTCCCCAGGACGACAGGAGGGCCTGCTCATGACTGTATACAAATAACTGAATACAACCTGACTGATCAGCCTTTAGAAAATCTAGAAATGGAAATATTCATGGACGCGAGCAGCTTCACGGACGAGGCGGGGCTTGGGAAGTCCGGGTGTACAGCTGTAGCTCATCAGGAAGCCCTAGAAGCAGAAGCCCCTGTCCAGGTCCGTCTGCCCAGAAGGCCGAGCTCACAGCCCACACAGACCCCTGAGCCTTGGAGCTAAGGAAAAGGTGGCTATCTATACCAATTCCAAGTTTGCCTTCTCTGTCCTACGTGCACACGGGGCCACCTGGAAAGATTGGTCTACTGACATCAGGAGGAAAGAAATTCAACATGCAGAGGAGATACCAGCCTTATTAGATGCTGTTTTATATATATACACACATATTTATATGTATAGATGCTGGAATAAGTAGCCATAGGACATTGTCTGGGCCACCCAAACACTGATCGTTATATAACTAACGGAAATTAGGCTGATCAGACAGCAAAACAGGCAGCCAGAACGAAAAACCCAGATCCTAAGGCTTCAGCACTCATGCCAAGTGTGCACCTGTCCCTGTTTAAGCCTCAGATCTGGAAATGGATCTCGAGAGAGCAGATGCATGGGGATTTCATGCTGACTCCCGAGACTTAGACGGTGATCAGGACCAAACAACCACAGAGGCTGGATTTCTAATGAGCTTATACATGACCATGTGATGCAAGGAACTATTACTCACCTACATCAAGGTACCCATGCTCACCTACATTAACTATTACTCACCTACATCAAGGTGCCCATGATGGGAGGGCTGCACAAGTTTATTGCTGGCCTATAAATGCAAACGACCATCCAAAAGGTAACACAAAATTGCCTGATCTGCACCGGAAACAATCCTAAAACTGGGCCACCCCTGATGATAAAAGGGGTGCAATCCCGAGGGACAGAACCAGGGGATGACTGGTAAACAGACTTTACTGTTAGGCCAAGAATCAGGGAACACTGTAGATATGTGCTGGTGTTAGTGATACCCCTGCACAGAACGGGGCAAAGCTTCTCCACGCAGGACAGAGAATGCTTCCTAGGTAACAAAGGCCTTCCTCAAAGAAATGATCCCTCGTTTGGGGCCACATCTTTCAATTCAAAGTGACAACAGAGGAGCTTTCATAGCCAAAGTGACTCAAAGGTGTCTGGGGCCCTCGGAACACGATGGAATTTCATGCTTCCTGGAGACCTCAGTCTATGGGGAGGACTGAAATGATGAATCATTCCTTGAAAGAGACAGTCACCAAAATAGGCCAAGAAACCAACGTGACTTGGGATAAGGTCTTACCAGCTGCCCTGCTGAGGGTCAGAGTGGCCCCTAGAAGCAAGCTTCAATTGAGCCTTTATGCAATGTTCTCTGGGAGACCTCCCTTAAGGTCTCATGTGGTAACAGAATTAGACTTGATAAAACGTGTACAGTCTCTCAGTGGTGTCGTATCTTCTATACATAAAAAGCATCTAGTCCGTTAATGCTTCCCACGGACGTCCCCCCGCATTGCACAAGCCCAGGGACTGGGTCCTCCTTGAACCTGGACAAACCAACAGCCTGAGGACCAGTGAAGCCCGTGTGGAACGGCTCCTATGACGTCCTTCTGGTTACATATCCTCCAGTAAAGCTACAAAGAGTCAAGCCTTGGGTCTCCTACTCCCAGAAACCTTAAATCACTTTTCAGAAGGAAACAGAACAGCTAAGACTCCACCTGGCTGTGACGAGAAGATAATGATGTCTCGACAGTAGCCTGTTTCTGCCCAAGAGTCTGGACCAGGCCTACCTGAATCCAAATTCAATCACTAAAATGTTAAAAAATAACATGTTTTCACGGATTCCCAAAGTCGCAGTTCTGTGTATCTTAGGGCCAAACCCTCTTTACTCATCAAATTTGTCCTCGTGGTCCATCTTGTATTTTGGGGGGTTTTTTTTGTTTTTTTGCGGTACGTGGGCCTCTCACTGCCGTGACCTCTCCCGTCGCGGAGCACAGGCTCCGGACGCGCAGGCCCAGCGGCCACGGCTCACGGGCCCAGCCGCTCCGCGGCACGTGGGATCCTCCCGGACCGGGGCACGAACCCACGTCCCCTGCATCGGCAGGCGGACTCTCAACCACTGCGCCACCAGGGAAGCCCCCATCTTGTATTTTTAAAAAGTCCTCTCCCCCACTCGCAGGATGACTGCCCCAGACTTCAGAGTTCAAGGCGGGACTCGGGAATGCTTACAAGTAAGTGCAAAACAATTTCGTTCCTCTTATAAAGATCCACGCCCCTCATCAGCCGAAAGTAGGTAGCCGGGTCCTCGCCCCTACTTCCCTCCAGACCGAGGAACGCACAAAGGAGACGCAGGTAAAACATCGCCCAGCTTAAGCTCGTTCGCCCCCTTAAGTACGTTCATTGCACAAACCTGAAGTTATTTTACAGAGACAGCCCTGCGCATGTGCAAGACGGGTCCGGGCGTCTCCAGGATGACCCCAAGAGCACGAGGAGCTTTCTTGGACTGATTAGCAAGACAGCTTCCAAGCCTGAAATTCCCTAAACCCTTAAATTCCGGTCGGGAGATGGATTTGAGCCGGGCCTCCTGTCTCCTTGCTGGTCGACCTCACAATGAAGCTTTTTCTTTTCACAAAGGACGGGGCCACCCATCTTAGTTTAGGCATGCGGGATCTAATTCCCCCACCAGGGATCCAACCGGGTCCCCTGCATTGAGAGCGCTGAGGTTTACCCACTGGACCACCAAGGAAGTCCGCATGCAGCAACTATGACCCAGCGCAGCCTGAAAGAGTAAAAAAAAAAAACAAAAGAACAGAAAACAAACCCGGGGCCATAATATTGGCTTCTATGCCCTTCGGGGAGCCAGCCCTTGCTGGGTAACAGAAATCTCTTCTTTCACATTAAAGTAAAGCCAAAAGACCACGCGCATCATCTCATAGCACCTCCACAATAAAAGAGTCGTACCTGACCCGAGGAGGTGGGTTCCCGGCGACTCTGCACTCGAGGTACACCCGACTTCCTTCTGCCACCTCTTGGCTCCGCAGCTTCTGGATGAACCGGGGAGCGGCCAGCAGGTGGCGGGCAGCCGGGGGAGAGGGGCTCCGGCTCGGCTGGACCACGTCCCGGGCCGCCGCGGGGTGATGCCCGGGCTCCAGGGGCTCGGCCCCGGCTTCCACCTCCTGCTGGTCCCCGGTTGGGCTCCGGCTGGCCGAGGCGCTCATCGGGGCTGACAGCTGGTTCTTAGGGGACAGGTACCCGCTGTCCGGGGATGAGGACTCCCCGTTGGGGTTCCTGGTTCTCGGCTTGGAGGTTTCTCTGAAGATGGTCGTCAGCTCCTCGATGAGGGTGGCCGCCTTGTTGCACAGCGGGCTCTGGGGCCCGGCCCTGCCCCCGTGCGTGGCTCTGGGCTTGGCACTGGCGCTGGGGGCTTTGGCACCGTGTTTCCCTGCCCTGCGGAGACTCCGGATGTAGCTGGGCCGGGCCAGCAGGGGCGAGACGCCGGGCTTCCTCCTGGATGCAGGCGAGGAGATGCGCTCGGCTCGTTCTGCTGGCAGCGGCGGGACAGGTGTGGGCTTGTGTGCGCCAGGCGTCCCTGGGGACAGGTGCTCACCCGGCCTGGCCCCCTGAGGGGGAGGCGACCCCCAGAGGCTCCCAGGAGAGGGGCTGAAAATCTGTGAGTCCTCCCTTTCCGAGTCGCAGTCCTCCGTCTCTGAGTTGGCTATGGCTCTGCGGGCCAGGTCCAGACTCTTGTTTATCTCCTCCTGGCTGAGGAAGGCCGACAGGCCTGGCAAGAAGTCTGCGTTCTCGCCATCTTCCGCCACGTCCGACAGGGAGTCGTAGAAGGAGTCACGGGAGGACATGTCGGACATAGTCGAGAGGCGCTCATGCACTCTGTCTGCTTTGGACAGGAAGGCAGGGGCCTGGAAACCAGCTCTGAAGGACAAGAGACACAACTGCAGTTAGTAGGAGCGAGTGGGGTGTGTGTGTGTGTGTGTGTGTGTGTGATCACAGTACTGCTCATCCACAAGTTGGGAGAAACAGTAAGGCAAACATATATGCTTTTTAAGTCATTTTCCCCTATAAATTGGAAGAAACGTCAAGCACACTTGTGTTTATCATTTTAATCCGGTATTTGCCCTGTGAGTGAATACTAATCGTCTCACTAAGCATCATTAAATAACTCAGGAGGGCCACGCCTGCCGTGGGAGCTGTGAGCGGACCAGGGCCCCCTTCCCTCCCCCCTCCCGCCTCCCCCCCCTTACACCTCTAATTTCATTGATGTTATGAGAACAGGAGTCTGTTGATATTTTAAGCAAATCTGACACTGCTTATGTCACCCTAAACCACGAAATGCATTTTGATTCCAATTTTCACTGGATTTTAGTTTTCGGTGAAATTTTTGAAACCTTTTCTTTTCCTGGTGTCCAGACATGTGGATTCACATTCATTCATTCACTAGTTAATTCAAGGCAGAGTTGAAATCGCTTACTGAATTTCAGGTGCAGAGGGACAGTTGCGCTCTAGACCAGGGGTTGGCAAACTTCCCCACAAACGGGCGGATGACCCCAGACCACTCAGCATGAGGGGGCATTGTGCCGACAGCGCTCTGCAGATTATTTCACTTAAAACCCTCACAACTGGCGGCCTCAGTTTAGAAAGGGAAAAACTGAGCCAGAGGATGTGAGAACAAGAGCCCAGACGACGAACCCAGAGCCCACGCCTTCGCCATATGCTTCCCTACCATGATATTATCGTTTCACAGCCGAGGTCCCAGCAATGGATCCGACTAAGAAAACGTGGGTCAGAAATCAGAGTTCTGCTATTAAGGATATTTAGTGCAAAGTGAAAATAACATGATAGATTTTAAAACCTCACAAAAAGCACTGTCCGAGGAAGCTAGAGAGCACACTTCTGAACGGTGAAAGAACTTTAAATTCTTTTTTTTTTTTTTAAATAGGGAGTGTCTGCCGGAGGCAGATTAAATCACCTGTTTATTAATTTATATTTTGGTTTTAAAGAGGCACCATCTGACAGGATCCAGTTGTCCCGATTAGGTGTAGCTTAGAAACCACTTGCACAGTGAAAAAGAAAACAACAGCAGGAAGGTATACATGGTCCGGGTTTAATCTGCAACCCCGACACTGCCGCCTGAACATGCACGTGGGCTCGGGAAAGCGCTCATAGCATGGATGAAAGGGGAGGTTTCCACGTGGCCCAAACTCACCAAAAAATTATGCTTCAGAGACGTCCGTGTTATTGAACCTTCACATTAAAAGGTCGTAATCAAAGAGATACAACTGCAAACATTTCCGTTATTGCCCTGAGATTTCATGTGTTATTTCACACAGCGCTTCCGGCAATTCCGTGCTGGTGACATCCATACAGAAAATGCAACACACCGGCAGCGGCGCAGAGCTAGTGGAGGGCCCGGGGGCTCCGGGCGGCAGACGTCCCGTGACTCCCACGCGCCCCCGGCCCCCGCCGCCGCCATGGCCGGGTCGCCGGCGCCCAGCTCGCAGGAGGCGCTTCTGCTGGAGCTCAAGGGGCTGCAGCAGGAGCCGGTGGAGGGCGTCCCGCTGAACCCGGTGGACGAGGGCCGCCTGCCTACCTGGGCGGTGGCCATCTTCGGCCCTGACACCTACGACGAGGGTGGCTACTTCAAGGCGCCTCGAGAGCCCCCTCGACGACCACTGGCCTGTTAGTCCCTTACCAAGATGTGGCACCCCGACATCTACGGGACTGGGTACGTGTGCGTCGCCGTCCTCCGCCCACCCCAGTCCATGACGCCCTCAGAGCGGCGGAGCCCCGCCCAGAACGTCAGGACGCCGCTCCAGAGCGCCATCTCCCTCCCCTTCAGATCCAACACCTCTCCCGCCCACGGGGCCGCCTACGTGATGCACGGGAAGCGGGAAGAGAGCAAAGGCTAGTACCGCGAGTACACTGACGCATCCGGAAGCAGGTCCCGGGGACCACGGTGCACGCGGAGCGGGGTGGCGTGCAGGTGCCCACCACGCCGGCCGGGTCCTGCGTGAAGCCTGGGACCCCGGCGCCCGCGGGGACGCAGAGCTCTTCCACGAGGACGGCGAGGCCGAGGCCGACCGCTGCTTCTGGGACGACTCGCAGGACTTGGGCACCGAGAAGCCCTGACACCGCATCTTACCTCAGCCACCTGCCTGTCTGACGCCGCCACCACCTCCGGGCGCCGGGCGGCCCGGGGCCCCCCAGCCCACGTCTCCTCCGCCTCCGCCTCCAGGGAGGCCACCGCCCTCGAGGCCCTGGGCCCCGCGTGGGCTGCAGCCAGAGACTCAGGGTCCCGCCTCGTGAGTGGACGGGTTGACTCGGGGTCATCTCTTCTCTCTCCTTTGGTTTGTTTGGAATCTAAATAAAGCAACTTTATGAGAAAAAGAAAAGAAAATGCAACACACTAAAAAAGAACTAATGTGTAAAAAGGAGTAAAGAAGGGGTGAGGTCAGTGTCCACTTGCGCAAGCAGGGTTGACGATTGGAAAGTGTGAGGCATAAAGTGTCTATAAATCTTTGCCGCCTGCCTCTGTCCTCTTTTCTGAGGGAAGTCGAATGGCCTGGAAATTCCCTCTTCTCCTCTGCGTCTCCTTCATCGCTTCCTCATTAGTTTGGTTTAGTTGTCGTTTCCCCTAAAACTCCCGTAAGCTGCCACTGTTTTCTGTTTTCTTTGGCTTCCTGCGGGTCCAGCTTCTTCGTGTGGAGAAATGGCCCTTCCCAGTTTAGTCACTCTTCCTTTACCAGAATGATAAATTGACCATGAATTCCACTTACTATGTGCAAGGGAAGCTTCCAGGAGGGCGAAGACGAGCCAGGCATGGTCTCTTCTGGAACCATCTTACAATCCAGGAGGAGGGATTAGGCAAGAGTCAAGAATGACCCAAAGACGAGGAAAATGATGATTCCTGTTAAAATAGGAGATCGGAAAAAAATAGGAGATCGGATGGTGAGAGAAATCACACTTACGAATTTGGCAGTGCCATTCCTTTGCTGCTTTTTTTGCCAGTGGTACCCCGGCTAATAAGAGAAGGTCCAAACGGGGCAGGCAGGTTACCTGTGCGTCCCTGGACGGTCAGCGAGATGTGAAGTCTCAGACCTCGTCCCCCACGATCACTGTGACAGGCGCTGCGCCCACGCCCAGCCACCTGCTCCCGCTCTGAACATCGTCTTCTTTCACGTCCCTGAGCTTTGCACACGTGGTTTCTTTCGCCTTTCCCGTCTCTTCTGTTTTTCCAACTCCAGTTCATCCTTGAAAAGTACTTAATTTCACTTCTTGTTGGTACTTTCTACGATCCTCCAGTCAATACAATTCACTCCTTCTTTTGAACATGACACTCTGCAGGAATTTTGTGGTAACATTCATTTTGTTGAACTATAAGGATTAGTTAAGAACCCTGCGAAGGCCAGGAAAGCAGGTGTTGCCTGACAGCTTTTCTGTGCTGGACGTCTGGCAGTGTCTGGGTCACGATCGTGGCAGGTGAAGGAGAAAACCACACCTAGTGTTTGAACCAGTTTTGAGCCCTGGGTGGAAATTGACAGGAGAGGGAGCCACGCATCCACAGCAGACACGGGGCACTCTGCAGGTATCGTGTCCCCTCCTGTCCTGGAGGCCGCTCTCGTCCCCCCCACTCACTGTCAGCCCCAGGCCCCGCAGCACCTCCCTGGGACAGGCTGTCTTCGGTGAGGAATCGTTCTGCTCTTTGTGCAGCTTTGTCACCTGTCTCTTCAATGGTCACTCATCGCCAGGGCTCTGCTTTCTGAGAAGAACTTGATAAAGTCAGTGCTGCATGTTCGTAGCTGTTAATGAATACACATAAAATACACATTACATGTCCTGGTACCAGTACAAAATGCTGGTAGTTCTGACACCACGTTAAAAGGAAAAGGAGACAGTGATTTGTAGGGTTTTCATTACCCTCAAAGAAAGTTTGTCATGAAAAAATTCACAACCGGAACGACATTTGTTTTCTGGCATCCCTGCTATTAGACGTCGGGAATTCTCTAAATGTTGACACTCTTCGACGTGTGGATACCGGTGAGCTCAGGGTTAAATTCTGAGTCATAGAAATATTGGGGTGGCCCAAAAGCTCATTCAGGTTTTTCTGTAACCAACTTTTTGGCCAACCCAATACAAGTCATGTTTCTAGCTTACGTCCTCTGTTGTCTTATTTATCAGCATCAATTCGTTGAGTGCCGGCTATGCGCTAGGCTCCTCTCCTGCAGGCTGGGGACACAGCCGTGAGGAAGATGGGCTTCTCTGCCCTAAGAAGCTGCCATTTTAACAGGAAAAAAGAAGTAGGAAACCAAGGAAATGTCAGGCTCTGATTTTCTTATACTGGGTTTGGTCTCAAATCTTTTGTTAGTTGATTTTGGGAAACTGTGCTGTGCTTTTATCCCTCAGATCATCTTTCAGAGTTGTTAGGGTACAAGTGGGATGGGACGGGATGGACGGATGCTTGCGGGCTCCCATCGGTGTCCGTAGACTGTAGCAGTTCTGGACAGCTCGCTGTGGGTGGGAGGGGCTGACGGTAACAGCAGGAGGACACTTCAGGCTGGCGGTGCCTCAGACTCTGGGACTGTGCAGTGAAGGAACTGCGGGCGCCCTGGGGGTTCTCTGAAGGCAGACCCCTCCAGCAGGTGATGGTGCCAAACCCTCAGGCATTAGCAAACATGGTAAAGCACAGGCTTGGGAGGGTCTGCAAATAGTGGGAGGCGTTATAGCTTCCTGCCCACCTTGACCTTCAGCAGACCTATCAGGGTCTGCCGTGTCCCAAGGAAATTTTGCTATCAGACGTCAGCTCCCATGGTCACCTACGTCGTTACATCCCTGTGCACATTTCATCCATTCTCATGGAATTTTATGCCATTTAGTTGATAGGTTATTTCTCATGGTTAATTTTACGGTTCTCAGCTTCGCCCTAAGTTCACATTATCTGAATTCTGTTGGACCCATATTCCACTATGAAATATAGAGCGTGTAAGTTTTCACTGAACATTTAATGTTTCATATATCACACATTCTGACATAAGCAATTTTATCATCTTAAATTGTCTTGGCATTATGATCTTGGTATTTGGGAAAACATTTGTTTTTGAGCTCCTGAATATGTAGTAGACATATAAATCCATACGATTCACATACGTATATACAAATAATAGAAAAAATAGACAAATTTTTAACTTATGAATAACATTTGTTTTTAGAGTTGCTGACTTTGGAGGATAATTATCTGAAAACAAGATCTGTGCTATCGAGGACAACCTTCTATTTTGTCGGTCAGAAAATACTTGTGGGACACCCCCTGCACCGTCCCCAGTGGCAAGGAACATAGGCTGTTGAAATGTAAACAAATTCCCCCACTTGAGAGGAGGTTGGGGAAGACAAGGCACCTCATGAGAAGCAGCAGAGTCCAGGAGGAAGAATAATTCAGTTGCAAACGACAAATCTTGGTTTCCAAGTTTTGAGCTGCAGGCTTTCCTATAAAGATGATCCGACTTGCGATGGTTGGACTAATCAACTTTACGATGATGTGAAAGTGATAGGCCTTTGGTAGAATCCGTACTTGGAATTTTGAGCTTTTATCTTTTCTGATCCTCTCTTGAGATGCTGGGCAGCGGCCGCAGTGCCCAGCCAGCTTCGCGATCACGAGGGTAAACAACCGATGTACTTACAACCCTCTGGACCCAGACAACCACTCTGCTTTTCACTGTCATTACGGTATGCAATCAATTACATGGGATATTCAACATTTTGTTAGAAGACAGGCTTTGTGTTAGATGATTTCGCCCAACTGCAGACTGATGGAAGTATTCTGGGCACCTTGAAGGTGAGACAGGCTGGGACCTGGGACCCTTTGCTGCAGTGCTTGCACCTCTCGTCAAGCAATAAAATACAAGAAAACTGTAAGGGACTAAAAATAACTGCGTGCATGCGCAGCTGGGGCAAATTCTGGACAAAAGATACAAAAAGACCAAAAAACCCAACTGCCGCTTCTGAAGAGCCCGGAGCAAAAGCAGGGTGTCGGGAGCGAAAGCAGGGTACTGCACATGCCCCCTGCACACACCGCCACCAAAGGGATGGGCAAAACACCTAAGCCACCCCTCCTGACGACCCCTGGACACACCTCTACCCTCACCCCATATAAGGAACCATCCTGCCCCGCCATCAGCCCGCGAGCAAGGACACCTGTTTCTTGTTTCGCTTCCCCTGTTGCAGCAGGGGCCCCCATAAAGCCTTGCCTGAATTTCTCATCTGGCCTCTTATCAATTTCTATTGATTAAGGAGGCCAAGAGCCCTGGTTGGTAACAAAGGTGGGCTGGGCCAAGCTGTGACCTTCGGTAGGTAAGTGAGGCGTATTCAGTACATTTTCAACGTGCGATATGTCTGCCAGGAGGGAGCCCCATCATGAGCTCAGGAAGATCTGTAGTGAACCATTGGATCCTGAGAATAATAGATGGGGTGAACACTATGTTTTTTTTATTATTTTGATTACTCAACCTACAGCATAAAAACATTCAATTGTTTAGCCAAAGTTGAACCAGGAAATGGTAGACATGGTTGAAATTGGCATGGAACTGCCACGTTGTCTTTTCGCACTTGGTGTGTTATGGGTATTTACTTGAATAATTTAAACAAGGGGAGGACTTTTGCAATAGTTCATGGAATCCTTTGCAGAGACTTTGATGACCTGCTACAGTTCTGAAAGGAAAAATCTTTGATGTTAGAAAAAGACTGACAGGCACCAAGGATCGTTCATATCCCAAACCACACGGGCCAGGTGCTTTAGAAAGTCCAGACAGGGGTAGCAATGTTTCACTAGACGTTTAAGATGTGTATACAGTTAGAGATAAATACAGGAGGAAGGCTGGAAGATGGTGCGTCAAGCAGTGGGTGCTGATTACGTCTGCGGTGGGTTGAGGATGGGGTTGTTAGGGGAACCTTTGGTTGCTGTTTTCACATTCTTTGGGAGAAAAAGTGGAAATTCTGAGTGATTTTAATATTGAATTTAGCATTTTGTTTCTGTTTATTTTCATATTTAAACAATTACTAAAAGTAAAAAAAACTATGGATACAAAGATTCAAGACTAAAAATATTTTAAAATAAAACCCAAACTATGAAAACCAAACTTGAAAAAGCTTTAAAACTTCTTTTTTCCTTGTTCTGGAAGCACATGCAATTCCTAGACGAAATTTCTTCCTTCTGTTGAAATAACTTTTTAGGTCCAAGATGGAGCTGCTCCTGCCTGGGAGCCATGTCAGCAACCTGAAGCTTAGGGAACTTTTGTGTCCCTATGAACACTCTGCTTCAACAGAAACTCATGCATCCGGTCAGCCAGCCCCAAGCCAGACCAGCATTGGTTTCCTTACTTACCTCCTTCCTCCATCTCACCACAGAAAGGTGAGTCTGCAGCCCCAGCCAATCAAGTACTTTCTATTTCTCTCTCCCTTGTTCTTTATCCTATGAAAGCTTCCTGTCTTCCTCTTCATGGTGAGGCTCTTCCAAAAGAGACTGTCCACTTCATGAAGGGTTAAACAAAGTGTGTTTGTATCACCTAAATTGTCTTCTTTAATCATCATTTTAAAATCCATCCTTCCTTCCTTCCTTCCTTCCTTCCTTCCTTCCTTCCCTCCTTCCTTCCCTCCCTATAGGGCTAAAGTCAAATATGAAAAATTTATTAAACCCTTTTTGATGCAAAAAGATGCACAATAATTTTATAATCCACTTCTTAATAAATACATGTGGATTCCACTCTTTCCTAATCTTTAAGTAAATTGTCATTACAGGGAGGCATGGCATATTTTTACTTCAGTTTTTAAATTTTCCGCAGACGGTATATTGTATCTCAATTGCAGAGACATAACATAATAGCTGATTTCATGCCCACAACAGCCATATAAAGTGTTTCCAGAGAGAGTATTTGGAGTTACTGGTGTCCTCTTTGTATACTATCTTTATTCACCGTATTGAATCCATTCTAGATTTTACTTCCAGACCATCCATGCCTACTGCCACTGTCCTTATTCTGGCCTTCATTCCCTCACCTAAATTCAAAGCCTATTTACCAAACTTGTATCTGTGTTCTCTCGTATGATATAACACATCCAAGTCAGAGCTGCTCTGCTCAGTCTTTATTTCCTTTGCTGGAATTTAACCAGGACTCGGCCATCGCCTCCATGCCTGAATTCCTGGCTGGAGCTCAGATAACACAATTCCCTTTGATGTCTTATACACACACACACACACACACACACACACACATATTAGCAAAGTGTAGACTCTTGTCGTGGCCTTGGAGGTTTCAGGTGGTATCTCTTTAAGAACGTGTCAGATTTATTTTGAAACTTGACTAATGCTACCCTCTGCATTTTTAAAAAAAAGGAGGTAAAGAAATCAAAGTGATTGTAATTGTCCCGTGTAATCCAGATCTCTATTATATTGTAAAGTATGCTATGACCCTTTTAATTTTCAGTTTTAACAACCAATAGCAGCTCAGACAGAGAACTGACACGGGGCCCCTAATCCATATCGGACACAGGAATGCAGAAGGACAGATTTGTATTCTGGGTATATGTAATCATATATTCACAGCATACGTATTGCCTTGATAAGTCTCTTAGGCCTTGTCTACTGTTAGCAATAATTTGTCAAATAGACTCTGATTTTTAAAATCTGGATAACGGAGGTGAGCATTCAAGTTCTGTCTTAGAGGAAAAAGTATATTGGAAAGTATATCTGTTCTGTAATAAGGATGTAATTTCTGCACATTCATGACTGAACGGACTTGGTCAGTGTTATATTGTCGGGCAATGGGCTCTGGATGTCGACACATTACTCATACTAGAAGGTAATTAGTATTTTTAGCAAATGTTGAAAAAGTAACATGAGCCTGAAGTCATTCTGTATCAACCTCATCTATTGGATTCAAGACAATTTCATGTGTAACTTACAGCCACGTGATGTAGAATTATACTGTAAGTTTTCAATTTGACTGGACCATAGTTTCCCTTAGGAAGTTTTATCTTTTAAAATAATATGCAAACTTTATGCATAGTTAGGATTTAAAATGTCTGCCTTTATTCTCAACTCATTTAAAAAGTTCTTCGAAAGTGTAATTAACAACTTAAAAATGTTACTAAAACCGAAAGTATATCATTTTAACCCATCGGTATTTAGCTTAAGTATAGGCAAGGTTTGAGTTAGCTGCATTCTTATTTTCTATAAAACATAGACGTGATCTTGACAAATGTGGGCTCCATCAGTACATTTAATCCTTTTGGAATTAATAGCCCCAATTTAGTTTTAAGATTTTAATAGAAAAGGCAGCTCTCTGACAGCATAGGTAGAAATAAAACCCTGCAGGTAAATCTCATGTACTTTCTGTTTTGGGAAGGACTGCAAAATTCCCATTACTTTTCCTCTCCAAATAAAAGAAAAATCAAGACGTCTTCTAAACAGTGTTACATCTTCTAGCAAACTCCTATTGTATTTTTTAGCTTTTAATAAAAAGCTTTAAAAATGTTGTTTTACTAGTTAGTATATTAAGATATATTTTACAGACCTTTTCAATCCTTGGTTACTTTGAAGACTCCCAAAAGGTGACGGATTTCAGAGGAGCGTTTCTTCTTTTCTGGAGGAGTGAAGGTGGCCTTGTTTATTCATGACACACTGCTTGGTCCGTGGTCACTTTGAGGCAGCTCTGGGCTCAGACCCCATCTGTCCTCTTCCTCCACTCAACTATATTTGGTAACTGAACTCATGTTTCCCCAGATGGCCCTGGCCAGAGATTCCAGAAGCCAGCTCTAAGGGCTGGGTTCTTAGAAAATTAAAAGCACTTAGAGTAGAGAGAACTATATTTGTGGATCTAATAAACATGGGATTGACACATGTTCCTCTACTCTCTGACCTTGTGACGGGAAATCCCCACCTGTCTTTTAAATGTATTCTTAATCAATTAAATGCTCAGTGTGTGACTCTGAGAAGAAAAAGCCGCACTCCTAAAGAGGGCTCTTCTAACTATAATCTTCGGCTCTGTGCATTTAACTTAGTCACATGGTAGATTATCCGAAAATATCCAGTAACTATTTAAAAATTAAGCCACCTGTCAAATTGAGTGGAGAGCCCCACTGGCCTCTCACTTCCATTTGTTAATTAACAATTATGATATGACTTTGTGTGGGTTGAGGACATTGTCCATCGTGCGATTAAATAGACATGCACACACAGGGCCTGAATCTTCCACACATTGCAACGCCGAGCTGTCAGCCCAAGGTTTAGCACATCCTGACCATCCAGCAAATATTTGTGGATGAAATAAATAAATGTGGAACGAATACTGTTCAGGACAATATGAACCCTTTCACAGCTGTAAAAAAAAAAAAGTCTCACAACCGTCTCATTACTTATTCTGTAGCATATCGTTATAACATATTCTAATATTTTGAACTTCCAAATAACAAAACACAAAAATTCTGTTCCAAGGTCAGGCAGTGGAGCCAAATATAAGTGGCGGAAAATAATCACACAAAACTTCCTGGTGCGGTAAATTTGGAAATGAAGTGCCTAGTCTTTCTTCGTCTGGATAATATCATTCTAGTCGATGCAGGTTCTTACCTAAAGAAGTTTTTTCTCAAAAAAAAAAAAAAAAAAAAGAAGTTTTTTCTCATGGTGGACCACTTAGGAAGGGCTCCTCTGAAACTTTACAGGCAACGCTGGTCCTTTATAATCGGTCCTTCTTGAAAATACCAATAGATACATTCGTGGGCTGTTTCACTGCTTATGGGGAGGAGAAACCCCTCTGGCTGGTAAAAAAAAAATGCGCTTATGTCTTCTTCTTACTAAAACCCTTAAGATAAGAGTAAAAACCCAAAAGGATAAAAATTGGGAGCGAAGGCAGTAAAAGACTCCAGAAATGGACAAAATGGCTGGGAAACGGTTAATAGAAAGACGAGTGGTCTAATTAAACTGGAAAGTAAGTGGCTGGAGGGGGAGGTGCCCGTGGGAAGCAGTGATGGCCCCGAGGCACAGAAAGGCTGGAATTGGAGGCACCTGGTCTCTTCCTGAAGCTCATTCTAACTGGCAAGTTTGGTGAGGCCGGTGCTGAGACAGGGCATTGGCTGAAAGAGCCCCAAGCGAGCAGTCAGAACTGCCGCCCGTTTCCACGTCCTGCACACCATCCGTCACCCTCGCAGAAGAGCAGGCACCTTGTTCTCTGGAGTATAAGACGGTGTCCAGGACCAGGGCCGTGGACACAGCGGACGGAAAGGGTGAGGCCCGGAAAGTCATTTCTGGGAGCTGGGTGGGGGGAGGAAACAGAGGCTTGGACTAGTGCCGTATTTCTAGAACAGAAGAGTGATGGGAATGTGGAAAAACAGTAACATTTGATACAGCTTGGCATCGTTGTGTCTGTGACATTAATATCTGTACCTTTGGCGTTTGAAAATGTCATGATCAAAAGTTAAAAACCTCTGTTGTGTCCTGAGGCAAAGTGCAGGTGGAAGAGATTATAGGAATCAAAATGCTGTGACCGTTCCATGACGTTACCTTACTTGTTACCTTAGTTAAGGAAAGAGTCGCTGAGAGCAAGGACACAAGTGGTTACAAATGCCACTAGACAATGAATAATCTCTCCCTCCTCCCCCGCCCCTCCCCCTTCTTCATTTAAAGATAAATGGATGCTAACCGTATGACCCAAGCTTCCCCTAAATGTCTTAACAGATTTTATTGTTGTATTAATAGTAAATTATGCAGGAGCCACTAGGCATTTTTTCCCTCTGCAGCAGACTGCACCTAGGCAATAACTTTTGTAAATCCCGGGGTTCATTTTTACAAGCCGACCTAACGTGTGTGTTGGGGACCTGCGCACTCATACTAACATCTCCTATGAAGACACTGCCAGGAAGATGCACATCCTTGCAGTTTCTAGAAAGAGATGGGAATGCAACCCGGTGAATGTTCACTGCACAGAGTGACAAAAAGAATCATGATCTGTTATTGGTAAACTAGGGACTCATCCTTTTCTGTTGTTGTGGAGTCATTCCCAAACCAGTGACAGGACGCTTCCCGTTCCTCTTTCCAGGAAGAGTCACCAAGTTATATTATGTTTACTGTGTCTTGGTCACAGGAGAAAATTCACACCTTTTTGTAGAAATAAAAAGTTGAAAGTTGCAGGTGTGAAAACCGTCATAAAGACGTTGATTGGTGTGTATGATGGAAACAACGCTGTTGTGTTGTCCACAGGGATATGGGGGCTGGTGCTTCTGGGGGAGATGCTGGTCCCAGCCCAGGAGAGAGCAGGGTTTTTGGAGCGTGGAGGGACACAGGGGTAGGGGGTTCGTGCAGGATAGAAAAGGGGCTCATCAGAGCGAGGTCTGACCGTGGACGCCTGGGCACTGAGCATTAGGCACGGTGGCCTGGGGGTGCTGAGTGACAGCGGTGGGAGCCTCTGTGTGCTAAAGGCCACGGGGCCAGAACATCGTGTCACCATGAATCTCAGTGGTGAGCATGCTGGTTCACGGACCAGAGAGGCCTCGCCCTCATGTCCCTGGAGTGCCCAGTTCCCAAAGCCTGGGGTAACACCTGGGAAGTGATGAAGCTTTGAGAAGAATAAAGAAAAAAGAAAGAAAAAGGTAGCTGTGGTCCTGAGAAGCCTCAAAGATAGATACGATTTTATTCAAAAAGACAAAGAAAAGTGACTTTTCTTGACTAATACGAACATGCAGCAAACCATGCTTGTTTAACAAGTATTATAAGAATCTGAACACAAAAGTTCTTTTCCTTAGAAGAGATTCTTGATCAAGGCTCTTAAGTTATTACGGGAAGGTTCTGGGGATGTTACGGATGAGACCTGTGCATACGCAGGTGTATGGTGTGTGGTCCACTTTTATTTACCCTCAGAGCCCATTTCTGTGAGCACCGAGGTCAGGGTGGGGCTGTGACCCCTCCACTGGATCTTAGTTCATCTTCCAAATGGTTACTTCTTCTTCTTTGTATAAAAATTCCTGCTCTCTCCAAGGCCTGCATTGAGGGGCCCACCCTCCTTCCACATGTTTTCAATTAAGACTTGGGCTCTGGTTGAGCTCCTGCTTCTCTCCACTCCAGGTGCATCCCGTGCCCTGGTGACGTCAGCCTGTTTGTCTATTTCCTCCACACCCATGTATATTCTACCTGCCTAGCTCTAGCCATCTTCATCTCCGTTCTCTTTACAGATGACCTAGGGGGACCGCTCCCCCTCTCTCATCCTGCTTCATAGCAAATTATTGAAAAAATTCATGTCTCAGAACAATAAATGTTAATCATCTCACAGCGTTTCTGTGTGTCGGGAATGCAGTAGGGTCTGAGCCTGGTGATTCCGGGTCAGGGTATAGTGACATTGACGTACAGACATTGCCCAAGGCTCCTTTCCTCTGAAAGCAGGACTGGGCTTGGGACTCTGAGGCAGCCGGATTCACCTAGAGTGAGTGACTCAAGAAAGGGCAAGGTCCAAGCCCCCATGTCATTTATGACCCGGCCTTGAGGTCACATTCCTTCCTGTCTGCAGCATCCCTGGTTACACAAGTCACACTGCTCCCTGTGCGAGGGGGCTCCACAGGGGTGTGGCTACGAAGAGGCAAGATCATCCGTGGTCTTGTTGGAGGCTGTCCACCACACCTTTGTTCCATTGGCCGCACCTGGACATGCTCCCTTTTCAAAACTGCAAATTCAAGCGTCTCAGTATTTAAGTGGAAACTTCCATCCTTGAGGGCTCTCACTGTTGTTTCTTTGTCACTGAGGCTTCCAGGCTGTGGTCAGTCTATTTCCATATTCCCCATCTGTCCACTTTACAGTTTCAGGCTGAGTAACGACATGGCATATTTTGGTGCACAGGTATACAAACTTCCGTTTAGAAGGTGAGAACCTTGGTTGTTCAGACAAACTCTAGGCAAAAGTAATCAAAGCTTCTGTGATGGAAGGGGTGTGAAAAGGAGTGTGCAGACCTGCCCCTTCATCCTTCTTTGATCTTTTCTCACCCTGGGGGCCCAGGAAGCTCCAAAAATCCTCTGATTCTCCAGGAGCTGGTCCCCTTACCCCTTCTGGACACTTTCCTTCCCCCTTCATTCCTGGCATGGGCTACCAGCAAACAGGGATCATAGGGCAGCACAAAAAATAGTTAACTGAGAAACCTGATCAGGAAACAAATAAAATTAGAGGCATAAAATGCTTGCAGAATTGTCCTAATGAGCCACTTATTGGCCCATTTGGTGATTCTGGGAACAAGCGTCCTGCAAACCATGGCCAGTCTTCCTACTTCTTCCTCTTACTTTGTATGTGGCTTGGACACATGCCACAGAATCAGGAGTGCCCCAAAGCCTTGTTTGATTACACATGTTGTTATGTTCATCTGTACACGGCAGCGAACTTCAGATTTGTCCCTCATGAGTTCTATTTTATGAACTGTGGTTAAATCTGCTGCGTACGTGTAGCCTAAGCCTGTGGGTGGTCTTTCGATCATAGGCTTCTGCCACTTGGGATGTTTGCCAATTTTTGTATGTGCACAAAAATGAATAGAATTTTATCACAATAGCAATAAATGGAGAGTTGACATTGAGAATAGATTTCTCCATGCACGTTATCAATGGATATTGGGGCACAGTTAGTAATTATGATCTTAAGCAGAGATAATATCATTTTCAGCTCGGTTCTTAGGGTCCGGCTGTAGAGAAGTTTTATTCT